ATCAGCCCAAGCTACAAGCGAATGTGCATATTAACCGGTCAATGTGCACATTTTTCTACGATGTTGGCCAACTTTTCCTTCCTCAATTATGGGATGTATGTACATTCCCTAGGGATTAAGGAATGTGTGTACACACCGTAAACCCCATTACAATATAATTATTATTATATCTAATATACTGGTGGCATGGTGTAACTCTTGTTCAACAAATGGTGTTACTCAGAACATAAGTAATGCCTGGTTGCATTGTATTGTTTAATATCGAAGTAGGTAGATTTTTGATACATCAGAACAGATTTTTAACATGGTTTTTGTTAGGTATGGAGGGAGATAATGACACACTACTTATTAAACTTGAACCAAAACAAGAAGAGGAAATCCACTCCTTTCTTCAGGAACGCATTTCAGTAAGCAACGAAGTTTTGGTGACAATAAAGGATGAAGTTAGCATTAGTGCACCCTGTTCTGAATCGCTTGCTGATGAAGAAGTACAGCAACACTCTGACTTTCAACATCACCTTGTAACCCCATGTAGGACGGTGTCTAATGATTTTAAATGTGCTGATTGTGATTATAGGACAAATGATAAAGGCCACTTCAAACGACATCTTTTAATACATAAAGTTACGAAGGATCTTAAATGTGCTATTTGTGACTATGGGACAAATCATAAGAGCAACTTTAAACAACATCTTTTAACTCATAAAGTTTGTAAGGATTTTAAATGTGCTGATTGTGATTATGGGACAAATGATAAAGGCCACTTCAAACGACATCTTTTAATACATAATGTGACGAAGGATCTTAAATGTGCTGATTGTGATTATGGGACAAATGATAAAGGCAACTTAAGACAACATCTTTTGAAACATAGAGTTTCTAATGATTTTAAATGTGCTTCTTGTAATTATGGCACAAATAGGAAACACCTTTTCAATAAACATCTTTTAATACATAAAGGTTCCAAAGATTTTAATTGTGCTGATTGTGATTATGGGACAAATTATAAAAGCTACTTAAAACGGCATCTTTTAAAACATCAAGTTTCGAAGGATTTTAAATGTGCTACGTGTGTCTATGGGACAAATAAGAAACATCTCTTAAAACGACATCTTTTAATACATAAAGTTACGAAGGATCTTAAATGTACTGTCTGTGATTATGGGACAAATGATAAAGGCAACTTAAGACAACACCTTTTAAAACATAAAGTTGTGAAGGATTTTAAGTGTGTTGATTGTGATTATGGAACAAACGATAAACACCACTTCAAACGACATCTTTTAAAACATAAACTTTCTAATGATTTTAAATGTGCTACTTGTGAATATGGGACTAATAATAAACATCTCTTAAAACGACATCTTTTAAAACATAATAATTAATGTGTCAAGGACTGGGTGGCATTGGGAGTGCACTGTGTAGTGTTGATAATGATATTTTTGTTATTATCAGTGGAAGAACAATACCTTAGTGTGATTTATTAAGTATAACAAAAAATGTACATAATTACATTTATGAAAAATACATCTTATCAACTTAAAAGTTAGCAGCTTAGTTATACATAATTGTATGCTCACATCAATAGTGAGGGTGCATTCATCCTAACGCTCCCTTTCACACTATATTTGAATACACAAATAAATGCAGAGGTAATAAAATGCAATAGAATTACATACGACTATAAAACTTAATCTTAACATGTGGGAATTTAACCTAAACTGACACATGATTTGTATATAATTCACATGCAAGATCTGCTACATGTTCCCTTGCACTGATGTTCTTTTACGAAATTATATTTAACTTGAATACTTTTTAGTCCTTTATGTTCCCATTTCTTAGTCATTTTAATGCAAGATTCATCCAGAATTATTGTTGCCATATTATACCAAAGTCAGTTAACAGATTCCACAGTCACATTCCTGCTCTGGCTGTTTCAGATAAAAGATAAGAAGGATATGATAATGCATTGTTAACGGAGCGTTTCCAGCTTCCATCCTTGGAAGATTGGATAACCATCATGGGAGTACAGTTGTTGCATTGAGGTCGAGTGCATGAGATTGCATTCTTTAGTTGATTTTATGGTTTGGAGTACCACACTCATTAAAGAGCTACAGAGGGCACCTATCCTGCAGATGTGGCACATTTTCAATAACATCTCTAGTCTATATGTGACATACAGTACGACACCTGCAATATCCATGGTGCTTCAAAGCACATATGTTTCACCCCCTCTTTTTTTAAATATGAGATGTCTATATCCCTTTAAATACCCTGTATTTTTCAACGTCGGATGCAACCGGTCAAGTAGTTGGAGATTCTGGGGACATGAGCCACCGCCATCACCACCTGTCGATATTTTTTTTGTAATTTTCGGAGGATGTGTTGGATTTGGGGGCTTGGCGTCACTTGTTGATTGTTAAAGCTTGTTGGTGGTGGGATTATTGTATTTTGAGTTGTATTCATAGAGTTTAGCTTTGTGTTTGTGTGTTAGATTCAACCACTGTGGTGTCGGGTAAAGTATTTTATGTACTTATATGAATTGTGCCATTTGTTAAATCAGATATTTTCCATCTACCATTGTGCTAATATGCAATTTACAACATGCGAGGTGTTAACTAATATCCATGTGCTTGTGGAAGTCTACGATATCTCAGGTTTAGACCACGTTTAACTCACTTACACGGTGCACGGATGTGTACCTATGTAGAACCTCGGCTTCCGTGAAATAGGGCATGCAATGCTAGGTGTATTTAGGTTAGGGTGACTCGTAACATTCGTAAACTCATATCTTCCTACCGTGAGAGGGAGCTCGGACGCTAGAATAGAAAGGTATTCTAGAGCTAAGGCATAAAAGGATCCGAGGGCCCTCGAACCTCCAACTTTAGGGACGAAGTGCTGCTAACCAAGGCCGTCCTACCCATGGGCGGCGACCCATCTCTTAACCATCTTCAGTTTTGTGTCGTTACGTGACCGATGTCAGGGGAGTGTTACGAAGCACAGGTAGTAGTTCCGGAAGTCTGGGGTTTATGCCAATGTCATTATGTGGAAACTGAGCATAATTGAGGGCTCCACGAGCACACTGTGTATTGTCATAACTGCCTATGGTTACGTCACAACATGAATAATAGATCAGACGTGTTTTTACGAACTTCACACCACTCTTTTCGGTATATCATGATATGAATAACTAGTAAGGTGACTTATATCAATAAATGCATGAATGTGTTGCCCCTAACAATCTTAACTGCGCTACGGGTTAATAGGCAAATATGCCAGCCCAATCCCTAACAATATAACCGTGAAACAGGAGGGCAATCAAGCGAAGACGCTGGCCCAAACCTAACGAATAACCAGGTTCACCACCCAATGACTAACTAAAAAGTGAGTTGCCTTCTAGCCGCGATTAAAGGAAAGTACATGACATGTTGTGACGAATACTCTACGCATACTGTTCAAACGTACCCTGCTACTTGAATTAATTCATTAATTAAGGTAGTGTCACATGTTCTGCTTAGGTGGTTGGTGTTTTAATTTACTTGTGATTAGCATAGTTTGGGTTTTATTCAAGGCCAAGGTTTTTTCTCAAGTCGCGCTCTTTTTCTCCTTGGTAGTCTGCTTTTGCGAGAGTGCGGCACCTTTAGGTTTTGCTTGCTTTGCTTTTAATGTACCGCATCCAAATTCCCGGGTTCTCAGAATAAGTTTATAATAAATAAACTCGCAGACATTGCAGCGTTTTATTTGAGTGTTCCTGCCCGACTGGGTCCCGAGTCATTGTATTAGCTTCGTGTAACGTAAGGGGGCCCTACCCTAGACGATCCAATCACGTGCCATTCTTTTGTTCGAAATTTGAGCGGGAACCGTGTTTTGATACTGGGATTGCAACGTTGCCACTTTGCCGTGAAATCTGTCATCTTCACTTCGAGCCTGGGGTGGGTTAAGATCAGTACAGTACTCTTTTTACCCTTAGCAGTTACTTTTGCGAGAGTACGACACCTTTTGGCTTTGCTTGCTTTGTTTGTTAATGTACATCAACTAAATTTCCGGGTTTTCACAATCATAATAATTACGATCATTATTAAATAAACTTCACAATTTCAGTGTTTTATTTAACGTTCCTTCCCTACCGTGCTTCAGGTCAAAGCGTTGTCTACAACTAACGTAAGGGGGCCCTACCTTAGATGTTTTATCACGTGCCACTTGTCCAATTTAAGCGGGATCTTGTTTAGTTTTGGAGGGAATGGTGGCCATTTTTAAACGTTGCCGGGTTGACTTTATTTCCTTGTTCTTGTAGTGTGAAGTTAGCGTAGGGGGTTAAGTACACTACAAAATTAACATCAATTAATTAATCGCTTAGAAATGCCAAAAAAAGCCAACTGATTCTTATTAGTGGGCATATAGAAAATAATGACGAGTATTTAAAGCTTCCCATACTACGCGGTCCGATTGGTGTTTACATGACTTAAGTTTATCCCGAGATTCGCATACCAACAACTGCAGTACCCCCTAACCGTGACCAGCCATTTTGTGTTAAAAGCAAAGCGGTACATGTACTGTGTGGTCTAAGCTTGACTTATGATCAAACAGAAGAGACGAAGTCAGTTTTGTTTCATTACGCCACTCCCAATAGTGACGCGTTTCCCCACACTTATAATCCTACTTTAATCCATTTCCGTTCAAGCTTCTCTCTTCTTAATTTCAGACGTAGTTGGAGTGACTCGAAAGTAATGTTTAAAACTACATGATTTGGCAACGCTGCCTTTGAGTTGATTTTATGTTGGTTGATGGCTAAGTTCACGTTCCAATTAAAGAACATCAACCTATTTGTGAATTTGTGATTGTGATAGATTTTTAATATCCTAGGTAAGTATCTACCCTTTTTAACATTAGCATTTACAGTAACGTTTTTAAAGATTCTCCCACTGATCTTTAGATTTTTTTTATTACTGAATTACCATTGGCAAATTGACAAGGTATGTATTAGTCCCAGATCCAAAGACACTAGGTTACTTTCATATTATTAATAATATTTTTTCTTAAACTACTTTAGTCCCTAAAAAGGGTGAAGAAAATGTGATTTTCATAGTGAGAAAAGTAAAATACAATTGCTGCGTTAATCTTAATAATGACATTTAAAATTGAAACACCCATATCTAGATTGCTATGTGTCAGCCTTCATTGAGTACGTTTACACGGACACCTAACGCCGGTTTTATAACTACGGATTTTACTAATCCGGTTTTATGATACGTGTTTACACAGAACAGGAGTTATAACGTACGTTCTGTGGTTGGGTGTAATAACATTCAACTGAAGTCCGAACAGTAACGTCCATAGCTACCAACATAAATAAGAACAGCCAACTTCACGTCTATTATTTAATTAGGAGAAGTGAGGTTAATTAATTTGTTTTCTGTTGTAACTTCGTTTTTGATCTTGTGCCGCGAAATGAATGAAGTAATAATTGCCAGTGTTTTTCCCACTCTATGGCAGTTGTATACTTCCATTAACGAACAGTTATGCAACTTTTTCATTAACAACATTGTAAAATGTCGAAAACGCTTTACCCAAATGTTGTTACTGTATCTAATTGGAACAACACCAAGCGAAACATTAAACTTAGGACCGGTTTTGCAATGTAATCGCAAAACCATGTGGATGAAGAAGAGAAGTAGTGAGTGGTGGGAGAGAATCGTTTTAAAACACTTCAGTGACTGTGATTGGAACGAAAATTTTCGAATGTCCAAAAGCAGTTTTTTATGGTTGTGCGACCAGTTAAGAAATCGTTTGCTGCCCTGTGAAAACTATGTGAAAACTAGAGAGCCCGTGTCAGTAGAAAAGCAGGTTGCAATAACATTGTATTTTTTGGGAAGCTGTGCGGAGTATCGGGTTGTGGCAAATGCTTTTGGAGTCCACAAATCAACTGTGTGGAAATGTGTACATAGAGTTGTAAACACTATTAATAGTGTGTTGATGGATTCTTGTGTAAATATGCCTAACAGTGTTGAATGTGATGACATATCTTTTCAATATGAGAAGACAACACATATTCCAAATTTAATTGGAGCGATAGATGGGACTCACATCCCTATTTTGCCACCCGCCGATGGTTATCGAGATTTTGTTAATAGAAAGGGGTGGCCGTCGATGATCCTGCAAGCAGTGGTTGATCATTCATACAGGTTCTTATACTGCCACTAGTAATAATTGATTGTTAACTATGTGTGTTCATTATAGATTTCGGAATATCAATTGCAAATCGCCTGGTTCGTCGCATGACGCAGCAGTTTTTCAACAGTCTGTTTTATTTAAACAGCAAGAACAACTTATTCCAAAGGTACCTATTTATGTTGTGCATGAGTTATTATTACCAATTTGTTTCAGAAATGTATTGATATAAATGGAGTAAATGTTCCTTTCATGATCATGGGGGACCCAGCCTACCCACTGCTACCTTGGCTCTTAAAGGGGTACACAAAATCTGCACGACTCACCCCCGAAGAAGAGTCATTTAATGTTTATTTAAATGCGGGAAGAGTGTCCGTGGAGATTGCGTTTGGGAGATTAAAAGCACGCTGGAGGTGTCTTTTAAAACGCCTTGATATTCACTACTCATTTGTACCCCAGATTGTATCTGCATGCTGCATTTTACATAATATAGTTGAAAGCAGAAAAGAGGCTTATGTGGTGCAGTGGGAAAAAGCAGTTATGGAAGCAGAAGTGATATTTCCACAACCACGGATAAATACAAGCAGAGAACGTGAGCATTTTAGCGGTCACACCATTAGAGACACTATTAAAAATTATCTCGCGTCCAATTTTCCGTTAAGAAAGACTTGGTATAAGTAGACAATGTATTGTAAATTGTTACAAAGTATTTTATAAAAATTTACTGTAGAAAAAATAAAGTCCTTATTCCACATTAATACATTGTACACACAAACATCCCTTGACATGTTCCCTCGGCCGGCTAGGTTCAGAACGAGAAGTAGATGGTCTATTCAATTCATGAACATGGAAAACATTATTTAAACAACTAATTATGGCATTCGTTGTTTGCTGCATGATCTCTTTATGTTGTTCCATAAAGTTATTCATCATTTCCTTTTCATATTCCCTTTGCTGTAGAAATAGTTGTGAAACACTCTCGATTTGCCGTTCCTGCACTTCAAGAGAATTTTGCTTTGAAATTCTAGCATAATTTTCTATGTTTTGTTGGTACGATCGTCGTCCTCCTTTCTCAGAGTAACGTCTTCTTTTTGGCACTGGTTCATCAGACTCCTGGGTCGCATTGTACTCCTCAGCAGCGTGATCGGGGGTATTCTCTTGTAAATCATCTTGTTCTTGAGTTAATGTTGTGTCGACATCTGTATTTTCATAATCGTCCTCTGCGTATTGGTCCGATTCTGAATTTGATTCCTTGGACGAACATTGTGCAGAATCGACACCTTGCAGTTGTGAAACTGGCCTATCGCCTAGGAGAACGTTCATTTCTTCATAGAAGGGAAAGTCCGATCGACAGTTTTGTGCACCACTTGTACTCAATTGCCGTTTACACTTATTGTATTGAACTAAAAGATATAAAATTAAATCTCTTATTGAATTAAAGTTAGGTAGACTTACATCGTAATGTTTTAAAACGGGTTTGCATTTGTTTGGCATTCTTCAAATATCCTCTCTCATGCATCGGTTCTTCTAGATGTTGAAAGATGTCGACTGCTCGAAATCTCTTTCCATCCAACGATTTCAACACTTGCTTTTCGCGGATTAGTCTCAAAAGGAACCGTGTTTCCTCTACTTCCCACGTATCACGTTTTGCAGCACTACACATTTTAATTAAAAAATAAAAATCTACGTATTCTAAAATATCTATAAACTACAAACTACACCACTATAAACAACAAAATTTAATTAGAAAACTACTTTATGAAAGAGGTAAAACGCTCTGGACACCCATCAGAGAAGAAATGAGTAACGCAGCAAATAACACACAAAAAGGGAAAGTAACTTGATCCAAACCTATTCAAACAATAGATAATTAGCGGGATTTCTTACTTGTTTATCAGTTTGTGCAAATGCAGGAATTTGCATCTTTTAGGTTAAGGCAGCTGCCGCCATTTATTTTAACTTCTAGGGAAATTTAATTGGCTTGGTTGTACTTACATCCGCTTATGCTGTTTACACGCGTTCCTAAAACCGATGTTATAACGTCACGCCCGATTATAAAGAGGTGTAGCGTTAAGAAACCGGATTTATAACATCGGTTGTACCACATTGTTTACACGCGATTTAACGTCGGTTTTAGAAACATCCGTAGTTATAAAACCGGTGTTAGGTGTCCGTGTAAACGTACTCATTATTAGGTACGATAATTACAATAGTTATTTGTACAACTAGAAAAGAAAGTGGAGGTTTTCAACTCAAGTTCAAAGTTTGACAGATGAGCGAGAGTTGAAAAACACTCGTTGCAAATTTGACACATAATTTTTTCTGAAACTACAATCAAAATTGAAAAATTATTCATCATACGCAATAATATTGTTTGACACACAGCAATCTAGATATGGGCACCTTTCAATTTTAAATGTCATTATTCAGATTATCACAGCAATTGTTTTTACTTTCCTCACTAGAGAGGAAACTCACATTTGCTTCACCCTTTTAGAGACGAAAATAGTTGTTTCTATAGTAGTTTCAGAAAAATAACTATTAATACCTTTAGCATTTGGCATCTATAAATTGGCCATCGGCCTATACTAGCATCAAGTGTGCAATAGGGTAAATAATTACTATTGTACTGTAACTCTTATAATTCAACAAATTCTGTTACTCAGAAAGTAAGTAATGTCTAATTGCTCAGGGATCTCGCTCTGTATTGTTTAACCAAAACAGGTTTTCAACACATTTATTTATAGCATTATTGTTAGGTATGGATGAAGATAATGACACACCACTCATTAAAATCGAACCAAAACAAGAAGAAGAAATCAACTCCTTTCTTCAGACACAACACATTTCAGTAAGCAACAAAGTTTTGGTGACAATAAAGGACGAAATTACCATTCGTGCACAGTGTTCTAAGTCTTTGTATAATGAAGAAGTACAGCAACACTCTAACTTTCAACGTGACCTTTTAACCCAGTGCAAAACAGAGTATTTTAAATGTCCTAGTTGTGATTTCGAGACTTATAATAAACACACTTTCAAACAACATCTTGTGAAACATAAAGTTTCTAAGGACTTTAAATGCGCTAGTTGTGATTATGGGACAAATCGTAAACACCTCTTCAAACAACATCTTTTAACACATAAAGATTCTAAGGAGTTTAAATGTGCTGCTTGTGATTATGAGACAAATAATAAACATCATTTCAAACAACATGTTTTAATACATAAAGCTTCGAAGGAGTTTCAATGTGCTAATTGTAATTATGGGACAAATGATAAACATACCTTTAAACGACATCTTTTAAAACATAAAATATCAAAGGATTTTAAATGTGCTAATTGTAATTATTGGACAAATGATAAACGCAACTTCAATTACCATCTTTTAAAACATAAAGTTTTGAAGGATTTTAAATGTGCTGATTGTGATTATGAAACAAATCATAAAAGTGACTTCAATCGACATCTTTTAACACATAAGGTTGCTAAGGATTTTCAATGTACTACTTGTGATTATGGTACAAGTGATAAACGCAACTTCAAACGACATCTTTTAACACACAAAGTTTCTAAGGATTTTAAATGTGCTGATTGTGATTATGGGACAAACGATAAATCCGTTTACAAACATCATCTTTTAAAACATAAAGTTTCTAAAGATTTTAAATGTACTTATTGTAATTTTGGGACGAAATATAAAACTTATCTTAAACAGCACCTTTTAAAACATACAGTTTCTAAAAATTTTAAATGTGCTGATTGTGATTATGGGTCAAACAACAAATATACCTTTAACCAACATCTTTTAAAACATAAGGTTTCAAAAGATTTTAAATGTGCTGATTGTGATTATGGTACAAATAAAAAACACCTTTTTAATCGACATCTTTTAACTCATAAAGTTTTGAAAGATTTTAAATGTGCCGATTGTGATTATGAAACAAATCATAAAAGCGACTTTAAACGACATCTTTTAAAACATAAAGTTTTGAAAGACTTTAAATGTGCTGATTGTGATTATGGCACAAATGTTAAATGGGACTACAAACGACATCTTTTAATACATAAAGTTTTGAAGGATTTTAAATGTACTGTTTGTGATTATGGTACAAATGATAAACACAAGTTCAAACGACATCTTTTAAAACATAAAGGTTCTAAAGATTTCAAATGTGCTAATTGTAACTATGAAACAAATTTTAAATCCGATCTTAAAAAACATCTTTTAAAACATACAGTTTCTAATTGATGCTGATTGTGATTATGGGACTAATATTAAATAATTGCATAAACACTATTCAACTGTTAAATGCAACTTCAAAGGACATCTTTTAAAAGAAAGTTTCTTAGGATTCGAAATTATTACTCAATTCCCTATATTGTTTAGGTGTATTATGGTCAGTTGCACTGTCAATATTAAGTATCCCTTAACCTTAAGCGTAACTTAAATACCATAGCAACGATTGTCTCAATAATCATTTCCATGTATTTTAAGTTCGCCTTAACTGTAAGCAAGACCTAATTTTGTTGGTGCAACTTGCCATTAATGTCTTAATAAATTAGATATTTTAATCTAATTCTGGGTTTCATTTTATAATTGTAATGCAAACCTAAATATATAAAGTACATATTAATTTTCGAATTAATTAAGGATAGATTATTTTTTTAATGCATTGTTACTCTATACATTTCTTCTATATGTATCAGTTTTAACTTTAAATAAAAGAAAACTCCATTCTATAACTGATTTTCGAATAAAAAGTAGTTGTAGTGAAGTACAAAAGATCCCCACTCGCTGTGGCCTATGCAATACCACGTGAGCTATTCGCCATTCAGATTAACAGTAGGACCTCTGGTGGCAGCACGTAATTACTATTGGTGGGTTTAGGAGAATGCTGTAAATAAATACATATATTGAATGTACCTAACAATTTATCTTTATTAGAAAGCATACAGTGTTATAATCGTTTATTTACACGTTACAGCTAGTAATATAGCAGTAAAAGATTATTGACAACAATTTCCCACTTTGGTATAGTGACATATATGGGCAGCATCTGACCAGCGAGAACAATACATTATTACAGGCTCTAAGCCTAAAATGGTACATTCGAAAAAGAAACTTATGGTGGCATCAGTATTTGGTTTGCTGGAATTCTTCTTGCTTTTATCATTTGGCACATTAACAGCCATGTGTAACTTTATTATTAAATATGGTTTGAACTGGTGTTTTTTATTTGTCTCATAATCACAATTAGTACAGTTAACATTCTAACAAACTTTATGTGTTAATAGATGTTGTTTGAAGTGGTATTTATTATTTGTCCCATAATCACAAGTAGCACATTTAAAATCCTGAGAAACTTTATGTGTTAAAAGATGTTGTTTAAAGTTGCTTTTATAATTTGTCTCATAATCACAAACATTACATTTAAAATCTTTAGAAACTTTATGTATTTTAATATGTTGGTTAAAGTTACCTTTATAATTAGTCTCATAATCACAATCAACACATTTAAAATCTTTAGAAACATTATGTTTTAAAAGATGTCGTTTGAGGTTGGGTTTATTATTGGTTTCATAATCACAATCAACACATTTAAAAGCGTTCAAAACTGAGTTCGAAACTTCATGTCTTTTAATATGTCGTTTGAGGAGGTATTTATTATTTGTACCATAATCACAAGTAGCACATTTATAATCCTTAATAACTTTATGGGTCAAAAGATGTTGTTTGAAGAGGTATTTATTACT